GGGGTGGTGGTGAGGGAGAGCAAGGCTTTCAATTCCAGGACTGGAGGGAGTGGGGACCGGCAGATGGAAGGACCCACCACCAACGCCAGCCAGCCTGCCCCAGCAGGGCCGGTCATGGGTTATTTTTACCCCTTGCGCCTCACTGTACAGGCTCAGGGGTCGAAAACTGTGGCAGCCGCCTGTGGAAACTGACTTATGAGTCACCCAGTGACTGCCCTCGCTCGGTGGCGGCTGCCTCTGGACTCCTGGTCCCAGATGGAGGAAGGCTGGCCCCAGCAGGGAAGGGCTGTGTGCCACCCTCGCCTGGGGAGATTAGGGGAGACCAAGGGGACACTGAAGCTCAGAGACAAGAGGTCTCCAAAGGGTAGGCTGGGGGAGGGGGTATAGGTTAGAAGGCAGTCCCCTGGGGGTGCCAGTCAAATGCCCATCCACCCCAGTGTTCACCTGGGTGGGCTATGTGTGACGGACGTCCAGGCTTATTTGTCTCAACTTCTCCGAGCACAGGGCGAGTCAGCGCCAAGCTTCAGACACTCCCCTCCCCACCCTTGGTCCACCTCCCCCTTTCAGAGCAAGGCAGTCCCAAATACAGACAGCCCCAAACTTTGACTCATTTGTAACCACCGTCCCAGCCAGACTGAGCCAAGCTGTCCAGACAGAGGCTATTTATAGGTGCGTCGGGGACACAGACAATCACACAATGACACACACTCAGGATCCACGTTCGCCAGACCCGCCAGCGCTGAGCCCTGCATTCAGACACCTGGACACAAATGGTCCCCAGACCCCCGGAGAGATGCACACACTCAAGAGAGGCACCCAGACCCAGACACAGAGAGACCCAGAGACCCACGAAGACTCGGGCACACACACTCCTGGGGCATCAGCCCGCGAGCCAGACACAGAGAGGGACGCCGAGACCTAGACCGAGACACCCAGACACGCACACTCCACAGACGTACGGAAACCCACTCACACAGACCGAGACCCACAGAGCCACGCACGCTCCAGACACACACCCGGAGCCCTAGGCACCGCGCAGGCCAGACAGTGTCTCACACGCCTGACACCCCCCCTGCCCCCAATCCAAAGTTGATAAAGAGCCGGCCTAATTGCTCCATCGCGACTGCCCTTTAGGGAAATAAAATGGAAACTTCACGGATCCACCCGCCCCAGCCCTCCCGCGCCGGGCGCCCCGCCGCCCTCTGCGCTGCTCGGCCCCGGGTCCGAGTCCTGGCGGGCGGGGCGCGGGGGCCGTGCCAGGCTCGCAGCGCCGCGGGACAAAGCCGGGACGGCCGCCAGCTGCCGCGAGCCGGGAGGGCGCGCCCCGGGCGCGGCGGGCGCAG